GTCAGGTTAATTGGCCTCTAATTCACCATCTTCTGAATCTCTCCCTTCTTAAACAGTGGTGTTACACTAACCATTTTCCACCTCTGGGACCCTCCCTGACTCCAGTGATTTCTGTAAGATCACCACCAATGCCACCACAAGCTCCTCAGCTATCTCCTTCAGAAGGGCAGCACAGTGGCTCAGTGGTTAGCACTACTGCCTCACAGCACCAGGGACTCAGTTGTTTCAATTCCACCCCCGGGCAATTGTCTGTGTGGAGTTTGCATGTTCTCCCTGTGTCTGTGTGGGTTTACTCCAGGTGCTCTGGTTTCCTTCCACAGGTTAAGTAAACTGGGCATGCTAAATTGCCCATAATGTCCGGGGATGTCCTGGGGAAGTGGGTCAACCATGGAAATGTAGGGTTACAGGAACAGGATAGGGAGGCTTGATCTGGGTGGGATGCTCTTCACAGGGTCAGTGTGGACTTGATGGGCTGAATGGCCTGCTTCCACACTGTAGAGATTCCTCAATTTCTATGCTCAACCATTGCTCTTGATCCTCACTACTTAGAATGTTCATTGATCTATCCTTCTTGGATCTGAAACAGATAACCTTCTGCTTTCCTGCACTGTTCCATCTGGTAGAGATGTACCTGCTCTCAATGCAATATCCCTTTGCAATTTATTATTGCAAGTTACATGATTTACTACAGCATCCAACTTGGTTCTGTCAGCAAACTTATATATACAATTCTCAATTTTATCAAGTCATTTATAATTATAGTGCAAGTTTATAAGACACCACAAGACCCCCCAATTTGAGTATATATCCACCATTCCTTCCTTACCTCTGAATTAATTCCCTATCCAAGTGAATAGGTTGCTTCCAAAGCTACCCCCTCTCTTTCCTAACAGTCTCTTACACTGATTGATAAGAGTCCATAAATTACTTTCAAAAATAATTAGACACTTTCTAGAAGGATTTGTCATTAAAAAAGACAGCAGCATTAAATCAGGTGTCATGTGGAGGAAAAGTTCTGGCGTAAACCACAGAATCTCACAACTGTTGTGGTGCAGAAGTCAGCCATTTGGCCCATCATGCCTGCACTGGTTCTCTGAGTGGGCATCATCCCACCATTTCACCCATAATCTGCACATAAGTTTTACTTAGATGATCATTTAATACCCTCTTAAATGACTCAAGTGGACCTGTTCTATCATACTTCCAGGCGGTGCATTCGAAGTCATTGTGCGCAAAAAAGTTTTTTTTTCTCACAACACATTCAATTATGTTGCATATCACTAAACCTGTGCCCTCTCACTCTTGATCCTTTTAAGAATAGCAACAATTTCTCCCTACTCACTCTGTCCAGACATCATTATTTTGAAAGCTTCTATCAAATCTCATCTTCATCATCTTCTCTCCACAGAAAATATTCCCAACTTCCCCAATCTTTTCTTATAACTGAAGTTTCTCATTCCTGGAACCATTCTTGTAACCTGATCCTGTACTCTCTCCAGTGCATTCACATCCTTCCTAAAGTGTGGTTCTCAGAACTGTGCACAATACTCCAACTGAGGTCTAACTAGCATCAAGTACAAGTTCAGGATAACCTCCCTGATCTTGTACACAATGCCCTTATCAATAAAGGTCAGAAGTCACACAAGACCAGGTTATAGTCCACACAACACCTGATTTAATGATCCAACACCTGACGAAGGGGCTACACTCCAAAAGCTTGTGATTTCAAACAAACCTGTTGGACTATAACCTGGTGTCGTGTGACTTCTGACCTTGTCCAACCCAGTCCAACACCAGCACCTCCACATCATGTTTATCAATAAAGCATATGATGCTGTAGATTTTATTAACATCATTCTCCACATATCCTGTCCCCTTTAATGATTTATGCAAATATTCAGCCAGGTCATTCCATCCCTGCACATGCTTTAAAGTACTACCCTTTATTCCTCCACATTGATCTTCATTTGCCCATTACACCAACTTGTCAATATCTTAAATTCTGCACTGTCCTCTTCACAGTTTACTGTGATTCCAAGTTTTGCATCATTCATAAACTTTGAAATTGTTCTCTGTACTTGGGTGTGCGTGTCAGGAAAAGCTAAGGGCTAATACTGACCTCTGAGAACTCCATACATCTCATGAAGCCTGAAAAATATCCTATTGAATTAAATAGCCTGTTTCAATTCTGCCCATGGTGGAAACTGATGGAGTTGCCACAGAAGATGCAAAAGTGGTCAGTAGGTTGGCACAAAGTCATGATGTGTACTATAAAGGAGCAATAGTGCTAACGGGCTGAGAGAGGTGAGGGCTATATGGTCTAAATTATAACCAAATAAATGAGGCAGCCTTTTTGAACAGCCACCTCAACGCCCAGCAATCCCAGCAGTTTCCTCTGCTGTGTGTCTGGAAATGACAGACCAACTCTATCCTGCAGGTTCCCACACCTGCCCACCCCAAAAAAAATCCCTCCACTCACTAGAGTGTCTCCCAAGGCAGATGCGGAAATTTTCTGATTCCCACTACCTACTCAGAGAAAAAACCTGAGCCTTTTATTAAGAGGAATTCTTCTTAATAGAATCCCTACAGTCCAGATAGAGACCATTCGACCCATCAAGTCTGCAATGACCCTCCAAACAGCATCCCACTCAGACCCATCCCATTTCCACAACCTCACATTTACCATGGCTACTCCACGTAGCATGCAGATCCCTGAACACTACAGGGCAATTTAGCACGGCCAATCCACCTGATCTGCACATCTTTGGACTATGGGAGGAAACCGGAGCAAGCAGCAGAGCATGTGCAAACTCCACACAGACAGTCGCCCAAGGGTGGAATCGAACCTTGGTCCCTGGCACTTTGAGACAGCAGAGCTAACCACTGTGTCACTGTGCTGCCCCAAGAGGTTCAACAAATTTAAGTTGCAAGACAGAAAAGTACCTGTATCTTACATGGTTTAAGTTCTCACAAAAATCCTTAAGGTACAAAAACTGCATACATGTCAGTGTTTGTAATATGGGAATGGATATTGATTTATAATTTTATTATCCCTTATTTTAATATTCATTCACCACTTCTCTGTTACCTTTTGTTTTATTACACTTAAAAGACCATCATGTTCCCTTGGTTTTTAAACTTCATTACTTAGTGAATATGAATTTTCTCATGCAAATCACACTTCAATTACATTTTTAAGCTGCAAATATGTTTCAGGAATAATACACCATTATAAAATAAGGACTGATCTCTACATGTCTTTATTTAAAGCTAAGGGCTTTCAGCACTCAATAGGTTAAAGCTTTTTTTAAAATCAAGAATTCTTTCTCTACAGCTTCAGGCTTCCTGTTTACCCTAATCACTCTCAGCTGCTAACAATACTCATGAAGGAAAACAACACAGCTAGCCCTATCAGATTTATACATAGAAAACAATTATCCAGAGACTTTGAACAATGGACATCCTTAAGGACAGAAAATACAAGTTCTATCCTAAACTGTCTAAAATATTTACTGCTCAAAAAGATTTACTATCTTCGAAATGAGTTTGAAATTAAAAGTTTAGAAGTGAAAGCACAAGAAAATGAGACTAATTAGATTACTTTCTTAAAAAGCTCGTAGACACTGTGAGCCAAGGGGAGGTAATGGTTTAGTGGTATTATCACTAGACTATTCATCCAGAGGTCCAGGTAATGTTCTGGGTCCTTGGTTCAAAACCTGTCATGGCATATGGTGAAATTTAAATTCAATTTTAAAAATCCGCATGTAAGAGTCTACTGAGCACCATGAAATTGTTGTTAATTGTCAGGAAGAGCCCATCTGGTTCACGAATGCCCTTTAGGGAAGGAAACTGCTATCCTCACCTGTCTGACCTACATATGATGCCAGATCCACAGCAATGCCTTGGCTCTTAATTAAGGGTGGCCAATAAATGCTGGGCCTAACCCACGATGCCCACATCCCAAGAATGAATAACAAAAATGGTCTCCTTTTGTGCCAAAAGTTTTTACAGCAAGCACGACAAAGAGGTCAACACAATTTTTTTATGTTTGTTTGCACGCATGAAACTTCTAGGTAATAACGTATTTTTGTTGAAACAATTACATTGAACAAAAGTATTGATTTTTTTCAAGTTTACAGACAGGATTGTCCATAGATCTGGAAACAGATTAGGACACAGATAGTGTGCATGAATCACAAGTTAGTATACAGGTACAGCCAGTGATAAGGCAAACAGATGTAACGGTGTTTATTACAAGAGAAATCAAATACAAAAGGTTTACTGCAGCTGGACAGGGCCTTGGTGTGACTACATCTGGAGAACTGAATACTGTTTTGACCTCCTTATTTGAAAAGTGATACAACTGGGATGAAGGCTTATCTTAGGAAGAAAGGGCGAACAGGTTGGGCCTGCTTCCATTGGAGTTCAGAAGGATAAGAGGTGATCCTACTAAAGTATATAAGATCCTGACTGGATTTGACAAGGCAGATTCTGAGAGGACATTTCCCCTTGTAGAAGAACTAAAACTCTGGACATGGTTTAAGAAAGAGAGAATTCACTTATAAGACAGAAATAAGGAGAACTTTTTTTCTGTCTGATGGTTGTTTGACTGTAGAATTCTCTTTCCCAGAAAACAATGGAGACTGGGATATTGAATATACTCAAGGCTGTGTTAGATAGATTTTTGATAGATAAGAGGGCCCAGGACAAGAAATCACAAGATGGAGAAGAAGTAGGCCATTCAACCCATCAGGTCTGCTCTACATTCAAGATGATCATGGCTGATCTGTTGATCCTCAACTCCACTTTACTGCCTTATCTCCTATTCTTTGATTCCGTTAGTGATTAAAAATCTATCTCAGCCTTGAACATACTTAATGATCCAGCCTCAATAGCCCTCTGCATGAGATAACAACACAGGTTAATGACCTTCAGAAAAATAAAATCCACTGTCTTAAATGGGTAACTACTTGGAGATACAGTTCCAGAGGGGCACTTACCTTTATATTTCTGATGCTGGCTATCTTGTCATCCACTTGCACAATTATACTTGATCCTTCTGCATTTTCTCTGGAGGAGGAGAGACGAACTATATAAGTATATATAAAATGGAAATTATTGCATCAAAACTGCTTTTGTTATGTAGAAAGATGAAGCAAACACTGCATTTCAACATTCAGTCAGACATGCTAGAGTTCCTGAGTTCTGAAGAAAGGTCACTGGACTCTAAACACCAGCTTGTTTTCTCTCCACCTAAGTGGTCAGATCTGCTGAGTGTCTCCTGCAATTTCTGTTTTTGATGCTAGACTTCCTATTTTGTCATTTGTACCTGAGGAATTGTCTTTTTTTTTTAATCCATTTCATCACATGGTCTTTCAATAATTAATTGGAAAATTATCCTAAAACAAGAAATTAATTTATAAATTTATAATTAATACAAGAAATTGTAATCCATGCATCCTATAATTTGTCTGATGAAGCACTGTTCTGATACAACTATATTGCTAAAACTATTTAGAAGAGGCAGTAATTTCTGTTTCACAACCATTAATACTGTCATTTCTTGTGAACAAGCAAAACTAAACCCTATTTTAAAAGTTGCTCTTACATGCACAAAACTGAACATATACATTAATTTTTCATTTATAATCTACTGACAATAACAAATAATCTTGAACTGACTTAACCTGGCGAGCTCACTAGTTTACAACACCAAACTAAAAGGTTCCCTTATCAAGTCTCAGGGCTGCCAGAGTTTTGGGGTCACCACAATCATTAAATGGGAAGGGGAAAGTCAATTGTATAGATACTTGGTTAGACTGCACCCGGAATATTATGTATGGTTCTGGTCTCTTTAACTCAGCAAAGATATTATTTCTATACACAGAGTGCAATGAGATTGAGCAAACCAGCCTGTATTCTCTGACATTCCAAAGAAAGAACGGTGATTTCATTAAAATCTACAAAATACATCACGGAATAGACAGGGTAGATGCAGTTAAGATAGCTTCCCTGGTTGTCGGTGCAGGCTTGGATGGCCGACAGGCCTGTTCCTGTGCTGTAATTTTCTTTGCACACAGTCTAGAAATGCGACACAATTAAAAAAATAAGGCCCTGCCATTTATGGCTAAGGTGTGGAGAAACTGTTTTACTCAGAGGGTTGTGAACTATTGGAATTCTCTACCGTGGAGAGCTGTGGAAGTCTTTGAGTCTGTTTAAGGCAGAGATTGACAGATTGCTAATTACCAATGGTACATAAGGTTATGAGGATGGGATAGGTAAAAGTCATTGAAGATTTAAACAGCCATGACTGTATTGAATGGTGGGGCAAGTTATATAGGATGAATGGCCTACTTCTGTCCCCATGTCCTAAAGAAAGGAGAAAATAGTCCAACATTGTTGGCTAATCTTAGCCTATCACCTGCAAGATATTTCACATCTGTATTCATTTCATCACCTGGCAAGATTAGATGAAAGTAGTAGGAGAAAGGATCAGAGATAGTAGGAACTGCAGATGCTGGAGAATCCGAAACAACAAGGTGCAGGGCTGGATGAACACAGCAGGCCAAGCAGCATCATAGGAGCAGAGAGGCTGACGTTTCGGGCCTAGACCCTTCATCAGAAAAGGGGGAGGGGAAGGGGGTTCTGAAATAAATAGGGAGAGAGTGGGAGGCGGATAGAAGATGGATGGAGGAGAGGATAGGTGGAGAGGAAACAAACAGGTCGAAGAGGCGGGGATGGGGCCAGTAAAGGTGGAGTTAGGAAGGGGATAGGTCAGTCCAGGGAGGACGGACAGGTCAAGGGGGTGGAATGAGGTTAGTCGGTAGGAGATGGAGGTGCGGCTTGAGGTGGGAGGAGGGGAAAGGTGGGAGGAAGAACAGGTTAGGGAGGCAGGGACGAGCTGGACTGGTTTTGGGATGCATTAGGGGGAGGGGAGATTTTGAAACTTGTGAAATCCACATTGATACCATTGGGCTGCAGGGTTCCCAAGCGGAATATGAGTTGCTGTTCCTGCAACCCTTGGGTGGCATCACTGTATTTCTCATATGACTTGCTTCAAAAAAGTTAAAACAATTAATTCGTGTTTATACCTTTCACACTTTCAAGGCATTCCAAAATACAGCCTCAAAGTGAATTATTTGGGAAGTATACTCACTTTTGGTCTGTAGACAAACGTGACAGTACAGCAAAGTTCCACCCAAATAAAAACATGTTATTTTCTTTACTGAAAGTTGGTTGAGAGCTAACTGTTAACCAGAACATTGAACAAGTTCTACTACTACAAACTGTAATCTGGGATATCTGCAAACTGTATATCATTTGAATATTTAATTGTATTCAGGTGGTGGGTAATAACTTGTCACTTCCTATAGTAGCAAACTGAAATCATGCTGGTGGAATTTGTCTCTCTAAATAATTTAAAGAGGGCATGTACTAGGCTCTAGTTTTATCCTTCACAACCTAGCTATCTTAGTTGTGACAGACTTTTTGTCAACTTGAAAACATTCTGGGTCTCTATTTAACATTTCATCTGAAAGACTGCACCGCTAACAGTACAGCAGACACATGCCCATATTCTTAATGGGGGAGTATTAACACTAGACCAATGTGACATTTAAAGTGTGGACTATTTAATATCATTCAGATGATTTATATTAACTGATGTCATACTGATGATTTGAACAAGGACGAATGCTAGTTTTAGAATGAGAAATAATAATATCAATTCAGCTAATTGTCCAAACCCATGTGCTCCCTATTACAAAGTTCACTTAGTTCCATGTCTTAGCTCTACCAAGCCCAGCTGTTTCTGTAACACTCCCTCCCTCATAGCTTTACTGCCTCTAGGCTTAAGGAGCCCAATACTCTAATCGGTGGATTGAATGGCCTCGATCTAATCTATCTATCTATCTATCTTTTTAACACTTGGTTCTTAGAGTTTTAGTTATCCCTCCTAATCTCTCTCCACATTCCATGTCCATATCTGTTTGATCAGACCTCTGAAGTACTGTGGGAAGTTTTTCTATTTTAAAGATATGTAACATTTAATTAAAATGATAGCTGATATTAAAATCCTCCAGCAAAACATTAGTCTTTTAAGATTAACTTCAAATGTGAAAAAGATTGTTCTGTTTTTAATAACACCTTTTAGATATTCATTTGTTTTATTTGAATTGTATCCAAGGATCAGAGACAATACTGACAACGACAAATCAAAAATAAACTCCAGAGAAACTAAACTTAAGCTGTACCAGGAATAAATGCAAACAGAGGAACCCGAAATGCTGCATTCTCTTCATTGAGCTTTCAACGTGCCTTTGATCCAGGTACAAAGCTGAGGCCGACCTGCATTATACCAAAGACTAGGTACTCTCCAGTGACAAACCTGCAAACGAGGAGACTGGGAAAGTTTCAAACTAATATAACATGTACTGAGGTTAGCCAGCTTAAGAACCCAAATCAAATAACAGGTTTATAAATGAACTGAACAAGTTTAGATGTCAAATTTGTTAAGTGATTGCTTTTGAACCCAAGTCTGCACTCCTGATCTCATTACATCTTCAGCATATTTCACACAAGAAGCTTGGCAGCAGAAAGACTGGTCAGTTTTCTATTTTGGAACTGTCAGCTCCAAAGTTGTTCAACATAGCTCTGTACAGATCAACTTCATTCCTCATTCCCTTGTTGCCTGAAAGGCAAAAGCCATCTTTACTTGAATCGATGTTTTTAAATCAGAAAAGCTGGAGCTAAATGACTGTTTATAATCAGTATGAGAATACCAAACAGAAATAACAACAAATAATAGTAGGTGGTAATGTGTTAGCTATGGCTCAGTTGAAGCATTCTCTCCTAGGTGTCAGTAGATCACATTGCGGGGAGATAATGGTCTAGTGATAATATCACTAGACTATTGAACAAGAGACCCAGACACTGTCTGAGGACCCAAGTTCGACCCCTATGGCAGATGGTGAATGTTGAATTCAATCAAAATCTGGAATGAAAAGTCTAATGATGAGCATGGGACTACTGTCAATCATCGGAAAACACATCTGGTTAGGGAAGGAAACTGCTGATCTTACCTAATCTGACCTACATGTGACTCCACAACAGATACTAATGACTGGTGGTCTCCTCTACATTGGTGAAACGAAACTTCTCAGTGCATCTACGTTCTGCTCGCAAAAAAGACGCAGAACTAGCCGTTGCCTGCCACTTTAATGCACCACCCTGTTCCCTGACCAACATGTGTGTCTCTGGCTTGCTGCAGTGTTCTAGCGAAGCTCAATGCAAGCTGGAAGAACAACACCTCATTTTCCACTTGGGGACCCTGAAGCCCTCCAGCCTCAATATCGTGTTTAATAAGTTTAGGGTCTAAACTCTCCCATGTCCCAGCCCCCTACCCCATACACCAGGCTTTGTTACCACATAGCCTGCCATTACACACTACCTGTTATTAGTCACTAATAGTCCCCATTAACAACTATATACCCTCCCAGCCTGATCGTTTATCAACTCTTTGTCTGTCTAACTGCTCTTCTCTCGCTTTAGGCTCTATCCTATAGTTTACTCCCTACCCTATCTCCCTCCCCTTTTTTCTTCATATAAACTGCCATTTTCCCAGCCACCATCATTGAAAGCATGCTGTGCGGGTGCATAACGGCCTGGTATGACAACTGCTCTGCACAGGACTGTAAGAAACTACAGAAGGTGGTGTGTAGAGCCCAGACCATCCTTCCATCCATGGACTCCATTACACTCCATTAACACTCAACACTGGAGCCCCCCCGAGGATGCGTCCTCAGCCCTCTGTACTCCCTGTACACCCATGACTGTGTTTCTAAATTCTGAACGAATGCCATCTACACTGATGACACCACTGTTGTGGGATGGATATCTAACAACGATGAGTCAAAACACAAAAGGGAGATAGAGGGTTTGGTGATGTGGTGCAATGAAAACAACCTCTCTCTCAATGTCAGAAAAACTAAAGAATACATCATTGACTTCAAAAAGAAGGGGAACACATCCCCATCTACATCAATGGAAACGAAGTTAAGAGGGTGGACAGC